TACTTCAAGTTCGAAATCACTAAGCCTATGGGCTACATCACTTCGAGTTCGAAAACGCTCACTCGGATATAAAGGCTACAAAGTTCGAATTCGATCAAATTGCCTAAAGCCTTATGAAAACATTCATAAAGCATGAATATAACGAAATCTTCACAAGACAGAAAATAAAACAGAGGCAAGACGGGAAAAGAAAAGATATTCGTATATATTTACAGGATTGTTTACATGATTGTTTGCAACATCCGAAATAGATACTAAGGGACTGAGTTTCTTGGTTATCCCCGGGGGCAGTCTCTTCTCCATCGGGATCCTCCTCGCTCTCATCATCGGAAGCCAAGGTTTCAGCATCGGCTTCGAGCTCCTTAGCCCTTTTTATCTCTTCAGTGGGATGGAAACCTCGAGCGTGGATCTCCTCGAGGGTCTCCCTCCGAGATCGGCACTTAGCGAGCTCAGCAACCCAATGTGCTCGAGTGTTGGCGGTCTCGGCTGGCTCTCTTTCTTGTACCTGAGAAGCTTCAACATCGGCCTAGTAAATGGCCTCGAATGCATCCGCTTTGGCCTTTGCCTTTTCGGCGTCGGATTCGGCCTTAGTGAGTTCAGAGGCCAACCGAGCCTCGAGCTCCTCTATTTTTCTTTCTTGAACCGAGATTTTCTCCTTCATACTTTGAAGCTGGGTCTCGGCCGATGACAATTGGGCTCGAGCAGCCTCTTTCTTTGCAGCAAAGCAATCCATACCTTCTTTCCACTTCAAGGACTCCACTTTTATCACATCAATCTTGGTGAGCCTTGGCCAACTCAACTCGGAGGTCTTTGATTTCCTCTCCCCTTTGCCCTAAGAAGAGTTTAAGGGAGTTCCTCTTCTCTGTGACCCGTTGAAGATCGATCTCAAACCGATACAACTCAGCTCGAAACCGAGAACATAGTTCTCGATGAACCGCCACGGCCTACGAAGAAGGAAGAAAATAAGTTAGGAAAGAATAGCAAAACATGAAAAATAATATCAACAAAGAGAGTTAAGAGCTTACCCGATTCAGAGCTAGTTGCACTTCACAGAGAAGGCCCGACACATCACTAGGTCCATCAACGTCCTCGACAACGGTAAACAGATCACGGAAAGGGTCCTCCCTTTTATGAGACCGACTCATCTCGAGGGCCCCCAAAGCTTGCGCTTCCCAAATAGCCCCTTCAGAAAAGGCAGGAAGAGTGGGCGAATCTCCGATTACTATTTCCCCAGGCGACTCGATTGGGGCATTCTCCTCAGTTCGGAGAGCTTCAAGACCGGCCCCTTCCGATGTACCCACCGTTTGTTGACTTCAGTAGGAAGCATCCTTGATCTCTAGTGACTCGGGGAATTTGCCTGAACCTTCCTCCGATATCTCCTATGTTCGAGGCATAGCCTTATGAATCACCGTCGATTCATCCGCCTTTGGGGCATCAATGCTTTTCTTTATTCAGACCACCAACGCAGACCCGTCTTCTTATTCTTCTTCTTCGTCTTCATCCCTTAGACGCAGAACTGATTCTATACTCAAAGGAATGATATTCTTCTTCGGCTTATGAGCTGTCCTCTTCTTCGGTTTTTGATCTTCGGGAACATAGGCCCTTTTCCTCTTATTTTCCTTCACCGACTTTGGAATAGAGGCCGAAGCTTCTTCCTCGACGGACGAGGGCCTTAAAATCGCATCTTTTCCCACACCCACATACAGGAAAATTTATTAAAAATATATGGAAAACATCTCGTTCAAACTGCCAAAAAATACGAGAAAATGGCTTACCATGATTTTTGGCCTCCCATCGGCCCTTCGATAAGTCACGCCATGAGTGCTTGGCATATGTGGAAGTCAAAGCCAAATTCCGTACCCAGTTCTTGAGATCGGGAACTGTGCCGGACATCCAGGGAACCGCTGCATCACAAAAAAGGGGATATCACTAAGAAAAGAAATGAAAAGGCAAAATAGTAGGAGATAACAACAGAATTACACTTACGCTTCATGTTCCACTCCTCGGGAAAAAGCATCTTTTCAGTCGGAATCAGGTCCGAAGTCCTTACTCAGACGAACCTGCCCATCCATCCTCGATCTTTGTCCTCGTCTATGCTCGAGAACAGAGCCTTGGTAGCTTGATGCTAAAGTTTTATTAACCCTCCCCGAAAAAGGTAAGGGTAGTACAATCGGATAAATGATCAAGGGTGAAAGGCATCCTCTTGATTTTGTTCACGAAGTATCGGATCAAAATAACGATCCGCCAAAAATAAGGGTGAATCTGGCCTAGGGTTATTAGGTATTTACAACAAAAATCTATGATAATAGGGTCGATGGGACCTAACGTGAAACGGTAAGTGTACACACTTAAAAACCCTTTCACATGAGTAGTAATATCCTCTTCGGGAGACGATACTACCACTTCTTTGTTCCCCCAGTTACAATCTTTTTTATCTGCTCGATATACCCCCCCGGTTATCGAATAAATATATCTCGATATGGGCTTACATCGGCAGGGAACCGACGAACCTTTATCGAGTTTGAAATCGAAGGTAAGAACACGCCGGAACGCACTCCTCAGTTGATAAAGATTTGGTGGTTTTTAAGAAGAATGTTGCAGAAAAGAATCACAGATCTACGAATGAACTCAGAAGAGAGAAAATGAACTAAGAAAATTTGGAAGATTGAAGACGTAAAAGTGATAAATGGTGAAAGGAAGGGTTATTTATAGATTGAAGCAATGACGGTTCAATATCTGCGGTGGCCGACCACCTTCTGACACACATTAAATGTCTTGGGAATCTAAACCGACAGACAACTATCACATACGTCATGGTCGGGCTCAATGCAAACGTCAGCTTATATCTGATCGGGCCATTGTAAAATCATGTCGTTTCTCGCTACATCCTTCTCGAGAAATGAGGGGACTATCTGTATACGGTAAAAATCGGTTAGTCCTTCGTATAGACTGGTTTACATGGTAATACATTGGATCAGAAAAGTGACTTCATAGTATCAGGTTGAGGTCTGAAGTTGGGTCACCAAGCTTCGAGCCCGAAGGACCGATCAACGTCAAGCTCGATGTTATTATCAAGCTCAAATCCAAATCGAACTATGATGCAAAGTAAAGTTATTAAGCTTATGATTCAGAGACTGACCAACACTGACCTCAAATCAATACAGAGACCCGAGTCAAAATCAAAAACTCGAGTCAATATCGAGCTCACATACAAGAGTCGTTACAATCCCACTAGAGAAGATAATTTTGGCAGGAATCATGGAAAAGCTGATTTATCATGGGTCTCTCACTATGTATTTTTAATTATATCTAAAAGTAGGATCCTCCACTATAAAGAGGATGGCTACAGTTATGTAAATGACAGTTTTTCTTTTGCTTACATTGTAATTCAAGCACCATATTCTCCTATATTGAAGAGTTATTCTTTTAAGCTTCATAAATTGATTCATCTTGCTTAGTCCTATAAATCATCTTCTTTCCAACCTTGTCTATTTTGTATTCTTTACAATCCATATTTGATATTTCTATTTATCCTTACGATTTGTATTAAGCTATACCACATATCCTTAGAACTACGTACAAATTCAACTCTATTAGTTTTTCGGGTAAACACATATCTAGCTTAGAATTGGGCGATAATTCATTAATTAACTTGCCTATTACCTATATTGTAAACCTAGTACATGAGATTATGATTTTAAAATAAATTTTTAATAAAAGAAAACGGGAGAAGAATTACAAGGTAAAAAATCGAACTCTCACCCACAACATGAGATTAATTTAGTGTACGACACCATTTTTTCGAAGCTGATAATTCTGCTTCTCATGAACATTATTTTTTGTTTTACTTCATAAGAATCTCTTATCAATTTTAATTTACGTGACACATTCACTTTTCGAGATTTGAACTATACTATATGTAGTTTGATTAATATTTGAAATGTATTTTTTGTCATATTGACATGATAATAAGTACAACTTATAGTATTTTTTTGTATAGTTTTTAATTATTTAAATTTTAATTTTAAAATACTGAATTGAGGTAATCCTATTTAATTTTAAATATTAGTCAAATTAACTTTTGATTAACAAAATAGGTCATATAAATTGAAGAAGATGGAATAATATTTACGTAACACCAATTGGTGCGAATTGACACACTCAAACACACGCCAGACTGAAGTCTTTACAAAGTTGTGAAGGGTGAGAATTAACCATCAAACCAATCGATCTCTTAGCCCGTTTGGCCAACCATCTTCAAAGTCAATTTTTTTTTTTTAAAAAAGTTAAAGTGTTTGATCAAGCTTTAGAAGAAAAAAATAATAATTTTGAGTAGAAGTAAAAACAGTTTTAAAGAAGTAAAAAAAATAGTTTTTTCCTAAAAGCACTAAACTGAAAGCACTCTTAAAAAAAACACACTTAGAAATATTTTTTAATAACATGACAAAGACTAAATGTTGCTCAAAAGTATTTTTAAACATGTTTGACCAAGTTTCTCCAATGCCAAAAGCACTTTTTTCTTCAAAAAATTATTTTTTTTCAAAGTTGAAGTGCTTGACCAAACTTTTAAAGTAAAAAAATATTTTTGAGTAGAAGCAAAAGCAGTTTTAGAAAAACAGAAAAAAATAGCTTATCTCCAGAAATATTTTTTTTGAAAAAACACTTTTGAGAAAAATATACTTAGAAACACTTTTTTACAGCTTGGCCAAACACAAACTGTTTCTCGTCAAAAATACTTAGTGAGAAAAATAATTCTCAAAATAAGTTGAGTTTAGAAGCTTAGCCAAACCTGCCCACAAATTACTTAGCACCAAAAGTACTTTTGAGAAAACCACTTTTAAAAAGAATCTTTATACAAATAGCTAGTCATATTTATTATTTATTTTTTTAGCCATATAAGTAATTTATACATATATAATACATAAATTATATATATATATATATATATATATATTATATCTCCATAAACTATTTTTTGTTTAAGTAGTTGGGTNCAAAAAAAAAAAATCCCATGTTTTGCTTTGCCGTTTTTTTCCAATTGAATTCTGCATCAATGAATTGGTTTGATTGTAATGATCATCTATGAATTGAGCAAAAGAATTTGATAAAGTACTCTCTTTCTCTCTCCGTGGAATTTTGCAGTTTCAACAAAGTTTATCTAAGACGATGGCACAACATATTGAGATTACCCGACTGCTCGATCAAACTCCTCCGAAGGATGAGGTCTCTCTCTCCTCTGTCTCTCACAAGACACACACACACACACAAACACAGAATCTCTTTTGTTTTTTTCCCCACTGTTTGTGTACTATTTTTGACAAGAGGAAATAAGATAGGAAGTATTAACGGATTTGATGGGAAATGAAAACAAGTTTAAGGCTAAAGGCGGATCTTAGCACAACCAACACAGCAACATGTCATCCCAAGTTAAATCTTAAGATGTTTTATTGAGGTATTCATTATTTATAGCTTTCTCATTAGTGGGTTGCTCTAGTGGTAAGCACCCTTCACTTCCAACCAAGAGGTGGTGAGTTCGAGTCACTCAAGAGCAAGGTGGGGAGTTCTTGGAGGGAGGGAGCCGAGGGTCTATCGGAAACAACCTCTCTATCCCAAGGTAGGGGTAAGGTCTGCGTACACACTATAGTCCACAAACCCCACTAGTGTGATTATACTGGGTTGTAGTTGTTGTCATTATATAAAAGAGTCTTAGCTTTAACGTGGTTAGAGAGATATGATCCCCTAAAATTTGTACATGGACAATTTGATTGTCCTTTTAAATTTAAGCTTGTGGCACAAAATGGCAACCAAACAAGATCAGACTCGGTAACAGAATAGCAATTTATCCTTCTCTTGTAGCAAAGTAACTGCTACAGCTGATCTAGACGAAGAATAGACTCAATCATAAAGACTAGATAATTGGGGAAATAAAGTTATGTTGTCCTTATTACCTCTATTCAGTAAAAGAGCGAAGGTTTCAAATCCACTGATTCTCCTCGCCATTTTTGAGAGCTTTCATTTGCCTTCAGTCGATCGATGTATGTTTTTCATAAATATAGTATGACGTAATTTTTTCCACTATTATCAGTTTTGGATTTCATCAGCTGACTTCCATCTTTTTGCAACAAACTAAACAAATAATTTTTTTCCAAAAAGAAAAAGTAAAAAAACAACTCCTATTCTAAGAAGAATAGAAAAGAAGTGTCATAATCGTAGTTTTTTTTTACTACACAAAATTATTTTTGTCAGACGCTAAAATATCTCTACTTCCATTAATCTTTAATATCATATCAGTGTAAAACAATCTTGTGCGTAAAAAGTTAGAAATTAAATAGTTATAAGTAGATAAATAAATGTATTAGCAAATGTTTATTACATATAGTCCATATATTCAACATTTTATGGGTTAAGTGGGTAAACCACTTGTATATAAAGGATAGACCATGGTGGCAATACTCTCCTCCATCTGACGGTTGTTGGTACTGGAAAAACATTTGTTCAATAAGATACAAATTTGCCGGGGGGCTTGTGAACAATGGCTGGCTTAAATAGGATGGTAGATACTCAGTGCGGAGTGGGTACCAGTGGAGGAAGGGGACTATAGAAGATTGGCCATGGTACAGGGGAGTTTGGAGCAGGCTGAATGTTCCCAAGCACTGCTTTATCAGTTGGCTTGCTATCCATAAGAGACTGTTAATGAGGGACAGGCTGCTAAAGATGAGGATTAGCCAAGATAGCTGGTGTCTAATATGTGGAAATCAACTGCAGACTGTGGAACATCTTTTCTTTGAGCACACACTCTCCCAGACATGTCTTCAACTACTGTTGCAATGGGTGCATAGCGGCATAATCAAAACAAATATAAAGGGGATTTGGTGAAGGGTAGTAAGAGCAGTTAAAGGGAAAATCTGTAGGGATTTTGTCACATCAATGGTGGCTGCGCTAATATATAGAATATGGAGGGCAAGGAGTGAGGCCCTGTGAAACTACAAAGTCCCAACTCCTTGCGTGATATATATACGAACAAGTCCAACAAGATTGTAAGATTAGAGTAGTAACAATTTTGAATAAGAAGAGTAGTAGGATTGAGTGGGAATGGATAGACCAATTGTATAGGAAGAGTTGAAAGGAGTAGATTAGAAACAATGATTAAGGCTAAGTTGCTCCGACATGGCAATTTAGGTGCCGCACCCGTGTCGACACGACACTAGTATGGGTGTGGGTATGAGATCCGTACCAGATCTGGTCAAATAATTTTGGGTACTTTGATCACAACGGACGGAAATATTTGACACGAGATACAATTTGATTCCCAAAATCAGAACCAAAACTAGGATAAATTTGAAGAAAATAACATACCTTATCTAAGAAATCAATCCTTTACTTATCTATAATTTGAGAATAAAAAAAAATCGACACTTTACAAGCTATGCTTAAATATTCCACAAAATTTATCATAATTTAAAGATATTTTTATTTTTTCTTTTGAATTATTTTTAGTCGGATCCCTGCACCCGTATCCGTACTAGGATCCGTATCCCCGAATCTTAAAATTTACATCTCGAAGGATCCGACCTCTAGATCCGCACCCGTGTCGGACACCCGCACCCGTGTCCGAGCAACTTAGGATAAAGGAAATGGAGGATAGGAGGGGCTTATTTACTGTTGCTGTAGTATAGGCAATTAGGGGCCTTGTTTTTGGCTTGGTTATGATTGTTTTTCTGTACAGTTTTTTTATTGGGGTACTGGTGATTAATAAATTTTTTTGTTTTCACCTAAAAAATATATTTAACATTTTTTTAGTTTTTTTATTAGTAATACGGATATGTACTATTGCTCCTTAATCCATTTGGTGGTAATTCATGGATGGTTATTCAACTTTTTACTTTATTGTATCACAGTCATTAAATTATATTTTACAACAAAAAAGTTACTTGTCTTTACCTAAATATAATGGAAAGCCACTAAGGGGTCATTTGGTTGGGAAACAAGTTATCCCATCATTAATTATCACGGGATTAGTTATCTCACTTTCCCATAAGGATAAAAAATACTATAATTCCGGGATAACTAATCCCGGGATTAGTTATACCACGATTTTATCCCAATAAAAAATGGGATAAACTCATCTCAAATTTATTCACGAGATTAATTATCCCTTATCCCGCATACCAAACGAGCCCTAAATGTTTTTGTAACCTAAAAGTCACTCAAGTTGACCCAAGTATCATATATAGAACATGTCTCCTTTGTGTTCTCCTAGAGAGTTTCTGAAAGAATTATGCAAAATCGAGTGATTTTATTTTTGTTTCAATAAATAGTTTAGTGACTTAAATGATACATAAATAAATTTGAATAACTTTTTCATTACAAAAAATATTTAATAACCTTGGTGCAATAAAATGAAAATTAAGTAACCTTTCATGAAATTAACCCAATCCTTTTATAGTCGGGACTTTCTCCTTATAATTATTTTTTTGGCCGTCACACTCAAACTTATGGAAGTTAGCTCCAAAATTTGTACTATTAGGGGTCGTTTGGTTTGATGACAAGTTGTACCGGGATTAGTTATGATGAGATTAGTTATTCTGGTATTATTTATTACTGACTGTTTGGTATGCTGTATTAATCCTGAGATTTTCAATTTTATTACTTTATCCTGGGATAACTTGTCGTAAGATTATTATTCCACTCTCTGGGAGATATAAGTTATCCGGTACTATTTTTAATTCTGGGAATCCCAGAATTAGTAACCAAACAAGTGATAAGGCGGTATTAAATTTTTATTCGAGGATTATTTTTGCTTATCCATCATATCAAATGACCCCTTAGTGTTTCAAATTGAAGTAATGCTTTATTACACAAAAGAGAGATACTAACCCTCGGAACCCTTCTTCGAAAAATAACACCGTTTATGTAGGTGAAAGAGTTGTCCGTATGCAAGTTGTGTTGAATCCTTCAATAACTTGTATGTCTTTGGGATATATAATAGCAAAAGTGAACAAATTTCATGAAGTCTCAAGCCCTATGTCCAACCCAACTGTTGCCTTTTTTCTGTTTTGTGGTCTTCTATAATTTTTTAAATAAAAAACACATAAATTATAATCAAATGATATTGAAATGAGAAAATCCTAAAACACACATGCCACTTACGAAGAATTCTCTCTTCTCACTCGTCTCTCTCGATCAGTCGCCATCTCGCCCGCAGTTGCTAAGCCCCTCACCCGCTGTTGCTGCTTCCTTCTTCGCCTTTGTCGTTGCCAGTCATCGAGCTCGAGCGGTTAGTTCTCTCTCTCTCCCTTTCTTACTTGAAGATAATATGATATACTAATATACGTGATTTATATGATTACATTGAATTAGTTCAAATCAATGTTACTTTTTATTCAAGTAAGTATTAGTTAGATGACAAATGTCAGTTCAAATTTAAATAAGTGTTAGTTTAATTATACAAATGATCATGTAGATGTAAAGATCGATCCCTTATATATTTCTTCTATCTCAAAATTCATCTCACTTGGATAGTTGTCTTTCCTTTCTTTGTGTGGGTTTTTATAGTTACTTGATTATTGTAAATGTATTTGTATGGTTATATATATTGATGATTTTTTTCTATGCTAATATAGAGTTTGTAATTTGGTTTGTTTCTATGAATTAGGTTAAAGTTAAATTGCTAAATTTTCTTGTTTTAAAGTATATAGATTTATCGTAACATATATTGTACCGTTTATAAAAAAAATGACATTAAAAATAACTTGTTTGTGTCGTGCATCGCTGAAGTTCTACCTTAGTATTTGGCTGAACTCCTTTGTCCAAAATACTAGGTCCGCGGTCTGCCCACTTCAACCATTCTTTTCTTTAGTTTTTATTGTTTAAAATACATAATAACTATGGACTTAGAGGGTGTTTGGTTAAGCTTATAAGCTGGTCAAACTGGCTTATAAACACTTTTTGACTTATCTACGCATTTGGTAAATACCCAAAGTGCTTATAAGCCAAGTGCTTATAAGCTAAAATCAGCCATAAGTCATAAATTGGTCACCCTCAACTTATGCCTTTTTAGCTTATAAGCACTTTTAGTTTGACCAAGGCTTTTACTAGTTTATTCTTAATAATATTTTCTAATTCACAAAATATTTTTTCCAAAATAAATTTTCTAACTTTCTTTTCATTCCATATTCTTTGTGCATCTTTTTCTTTACAAAATAACTTTTTAATTTATAATCTTTTGTAAAGTTTTTAAGGATATTTTGATCATTTTAATAAAAGAATTACTTATCAGTTTTTTTCTACCAAACACATCAACTGCTTATCAGTTTCAACACGTCTATCCAAACACGTAATTGCTTATTTAAAAAATCAGTTTCAGCACTTAAAAATACTTTTCAGCACTTCAAACTTATCGGCTATTTACAATCAGCTAATCCAAACAGGCTCTTAGTACTACTGTACTAACTGCATTGTGACAATTCTATGTGAAAAGAAAATAAAACATTCAAAAAGCAAAAATTAAGAAAATCCTCTTACTCTGTTCTACTAATTACAGATACAAGAAGGCAGGGAAGCGGATTATGTGATCGAGATAAAGACAGCAGATGTTCAAAATCCAGTATTTGATGAAGGATTGTCTACCGAATCATGTACCATCTTTAAAGTAAATGCGGGACTACATGAATCAAATCCAAATGCGTATAGGCCAAAGTTGATCTCCATCGGTCCTTACCATAAAAACAATCCGAAACTTCGCTCGATGGAAAAGTATAAACTGCGTTACCGACAACGGTTTCTCCGCAGGAAAAAGACGATTGATTTGGAAAGTTGCATTAGAGAATTGGAGGGACTGAAGGATGAAGCACTTAAGTGTTATGATGATATAGATGAGGATTTTAACAATGATAGTTGTAGGAAATTTGTGGAAATGCTGTTGCTTGATGGCTGTTTTGTGGTTGAATATATCCGTGAGTTCTGTAAAATGGTGCCGGAGGGAGAAGACAAAATTATCAAAGCGGCTTGGATGGAAGTTCTTGTAGATCGTGACTTGTTGCTACTAGAAAACCAACTCCCTTTTTTTATCCTCGCCAAACTTCATGAGATGACTACGGATCATGACGTCCCATTCATAGAGATGGTGAAATACAACTTTGCTACTAGTTTACCGAAGGTGACTCCTAAATTCATAAGGGAAACTGATGGGAATGCCAAAGAAGTCAAACATTTACTTCAAGTAATACACATGTGTTGTTGCCCTTCAGGAATGAATGCTAGCCTAACTGGGAATGCTAGCAATAAATTAAAACATGGCAAGAAAAGTTTTAACTGGCCTTCGCAACTAATTTGGACCAACAAAAAGCAACAAATTGAGGAGGATGACGACATATGGCACGACCGCATGCGATGTGCAACAGAGCTTGAGGAAGCAGGAATTAAATTTTCAAGAACTGGGAAAATTTATAGAAGGTTGAACAAGGACAACGAGGAGGATTGTATAAGTTTATTTGATATCAAGTACGACAAGGAATTGATCGAAATTCCTTGTTTTGAGGTGGTTGATAGTACGGAGACCGTTTTGAGAAATTTGATAGCTTACGAGCAACACTCTATTGGTGTACATCATAAATATTTCACAGATTATGTAATTCTTATGGATCGTCTAATCAACTCTGAAAAAGATGTGAAGTTGTTTCGCTTGAAGGGAATAATCAGAAACCGAATAGGCGATGACAATGAAGCAGCTAGCATCTTTAACAGACTTGGAGAAGGAGTGATCCCTTCAACTCAGTTCTATTACAAAGAAGCATGCAAAAAGGTGGTTGAGCATTGTGAAAAACCATGTAGTGAAAGGAAGGCAAGTTTTTGGCACAATTACTTTAATGGTCCTTGGGTGGGACTTTCAACTGCAGCTGCAGTAATCCTCCTTTCGCTCACAGTTATGCAAACAGTATTAACTTTCATAAGTACTCTTAAGTAGTCGCTGTAATCATATACTATGATCTACCGAGTTTGTATAGTCTAAGTTTGTGCACTGATGATTTTCTTATGGACCAAGGGTGAGTGTGACTTAAAGTTATGGATTTATTTATTTTTTAAAAAATAATAGTTAAATTGTACTTTCTTGAGCCGAGGGTCTATTGGAAACAGCTTCTCTACCTTCTCGGGTAGATACACTACCATCCTAATACCCCACTTAGTTTTGGTTAAGTTATACTAATAGTGTAAAAACTATTTACACAATTAGTATATCGTATAATTCTAAATCGATTTTGTAACCATAATCAAGAGCTTTAGTTGAAATAAGACTACAAATTCGGTTTTACTTGTTACTCCTTATGTATGTCTCAAATTAATAATGTTTTTTTCCATTTCCTCATGGGACAGCATGGTAGAAAGCAAACGCAATAAATTAACGAGAGGGTGAATACTATATATTTATATCTTTATATTAATATATATCTATATCTATATCTAAAAGCACGAATATTAAACGTTAAATTTGAACAAAAAAAACATTCTTGTAGTATTAATTGACTTTTATACTCTTTTAAAATTAAAAAATAACTATGTAAGATAAGATTGTGATTAATCCTTCAAAGTCAACTAATAAAATTGAACAAAAATATGAATTAAGCCTATTTCTTACCGTGTCTTGTTTCAAGGTATAGTCCTATGCAACAACAAACTCCCAAATAATAGGATGATCTATATCTATATTTATCTATTTTTATATATATATATATATATATATAAGCACGAATATTTTATGTTAAATATTGAACGACTAAAATATTCTCATAACATTGATGTACTTTAATGTCCTTAAATATTTATATAATTTAAGGATGTAATTGTAAATTATCCAAGGGTAAAATTCTTTTCCAATTTAAATTACACATGGAAACCCTACAAAATTGATATCAGGTATAAATATAATTTGTGGACGGCTAATCACCGGCACATCAAACTAACCCTTGTCTTACACGGCTGAACAAGACCAAGGAATCTTTTTTTATTAATTCACTTGGTGATAGAAATTGTGTAGTTTAAGAACGGTAAGGAAATACTAAGGAGTATAATTTAATTAGAATTTTGTTTCATCAAATTATATAGCACAAATGTTAATAATTTTTTCAACCTTCATATATTTGCAGATTTATATAGATAATAGAGACGATTGCATCCTCGCTGGTGATCAAGCATGTTGTCCCCATTTTTTTTTTGTTTCGACTACCTTTGATCTACTATTATTTAGTTTTTAGGTGTTGGTTTTTTCTATAACGCAGAGATAGACCCATGGACGTTCTTGCAACTACGTCAAGCGGCACACATTCTTGGGATGTTGGAGAGCAAAATTGAAAAGTATTTTTGTTTCTTTTGGAGAAATTAAAGTATATTAAGGAATTAATATTTTGTGTTATTGTACAGTTTTTATCTTTAATAGGAAACAACGGTACGGAAGGGAGTTCTTAACTTTTTGGAGATCAATGTAGAAAAATAGAATTGATTTGTAATTTTTGGTTTCTTTCTTGCTTTTAATAGTATGTTGATTATGTTTAGTTTCCTATGTATTAGAAACTACCCGAAGGTGGTTTTTTTTCCTTGTGTTCTTTTGGTTTTGTCTATTTAATTTATTGTTTAGTTCTTTTCTAAATGGTTATTAATATTATCTTGTCTTTCTGTAGGTCAGCACTTTGGTTATAAGATTTTGCACGCTTGGGGTTGACTCGGGGTATGAATATTATAAAAAAAGCTATATTGTTTTAATCACACGTTTTATTTTTCATATAAAATACTTTTTCATCGAATAAAATAAGATGTATTTCAAACTTTCTATTGTTCAAAGACCATTGCCGCACTTAACATGGCTAAAAGGATATTCTATGATTATTTGCCTGTCCAAATATTAGGTTTATGCCCAAATGATGAATTTCTTTAGTAATTCAGATTTCTCTTTTGTAGTTTAAATTTGCTTGAGTTCATTTCTCAATAACCTTTTTAGATAACACGACTGCAATTATTAGATTTTATCACATGAAAGCTTACTTTTATTTTAATATAGAAAGTTTTACTTCATACTTAGAAGAGAAGTGATTAGAGGCTTGAGTTAATCATTCAATCCAACTAAAATAAAAATTGCAGGTTATAAATGCGACTACAAAATTTGAATCATGCACAGGTATGAGTCAATCCTTATACATGATATGTGATGCTGTCTTAATGATAAAATTTCAATAACTGCCATCCTTAAGAATCATGATATGTATGCGCTTTGTAATAATTGATATAAATAACGTGCAATACAACAAAAAAGTAATGTCATGAAAGGTAAGAATGATTATCTCTATTGTCTCCATTATTAGTGTATCTTAATCTAAAGAAATATGTCTTTGATTATCTGAATTGTTAAATATTATAATTACATGGTTTGACCATACGTTTTGTATATACTTGTTCTGTTATTAAGTGTTGTTGCATTATTTAAATGATTTTACACCTTTTAGCATAACTTTCAGATTGTTTAGTTCCATTATTCTTAGATTACTATTAAAACTTTATTACTGAGTTGGTTTGAGTTACATTTTCTTATTTATTTTAAGGAGTTGATTATTGACCTTCACATATCCAGTAACAAGTAATTTTAGAATATTTATGCAACTGAATGTTTAATATTTTTGGTAAGATATTTCGTGCATCGCATGAACATGGATACTAGTACTATATTAAAAGCACGAAACTCATTAGTGAAATGTCGTACGTCTTTTTTACCCTTTAAAAGTAGAGTCTACATTGGACAAAATTATAATTTAAAGTATATTCCTAATATTTAGGATTTTGAATCAACTATAATTTAGGTTATATAAGTAAAAAATCCTACATTATTCAAGCCATTAAAATCAATTAAAAATTTACTTTATATCAATTCTAACCATAGCTCATTCCATGTTACTTTTGCCCAATCCTAATATTTAGGAGTTTTTCACGTTATATTTCCTTATTTATTTTTCACGTAAAAAGTGAACCTAAATACTATATATACTAAGAGAATCAAAATATTACTTAATTGAAACTCGAATATTTTAAATGAAACATAATTAAATTTATGTTAAGACAATATTGAAATATCTACTTTAAAACCATATCAACTTGAATTGTTAGAAAGAGTAATAATAAATTATGTATAGATAGTGTTCACCTTTGATACAATATCATTTAGTTATTTTTCTAATATTTTATTACTTTGAAATCAACTAAATTTTGATTTTTTTAACGTATATATGATGTCCTAATACTTAGGACATTTATTATATAAATTATTTCCTAATATGAATAGACAATCGATCCTTCTCCGTGTACAATTACATTTAAGGTTATTGACCCCCATTGTTTATTTTATTTTAGACAAGAATGGGTTGTTTTAGTGGTGAACATCCTCCACTTCCAATCAAGAGGTTGTGAGTTCGAGTCACCTCAAGAGTAAGGTGGGGAGTTCTTGGAGGGAGGGAGCCGAGGGTCTATCGGAAACAGCTTCTCTACCCAAGGGTAGGGGTAAGGTCTGCGTACACACTACCCTGTCCCGACCCAATTTTTTCTCTGTTGGGTATCGTGATGACACCTAGTCTTAGGGACTAGGTAAGTCTATAGTTTATTTAATAACAATAATAATTTAATAACATCTAACAATCTTTGAAATGGAAACCTCCATAAAATTTATAATTTCCAAAACCGGTAGTACCAGCCATAAGCTCTACTGAATTACTAAAAAGCCTATAAATATAACTGTTTTAAAATAGAGATAAAATATTGCAAGTACAAATTCAGAAGGTGACTCCAAAGTCTGCGAACGCAGCAACAGGTTTACCTTGAGTCTCCACAGCCAGATTCGTACCGTTAGCAAGCGGTCAACTGACTCCATATTACCTGACTTTGCACAAAAATGTGCATAAGTGTAGTATGAGTACGCCATGGTCGGTACCCAGTAAGTATAAAGACTAACCTCAGTGGAGTAGAGACGAGGTACAGTCAAGACACTCACTAATCAATTAACCTGTGCAGTGTAGCGGTATATAATAATAATAATAGAAATAAATGGCAATGATGGCAACAAGAATAAATAAATATTGCTCAAACGAATAAGGAACACGAATACAACCAATCAATCAAGTCCCTCAAATATACGCCTTTCCAATGTAAGTACTTCAAGTATAAATCTTTCAAATAATATTTTTGGAATATAATTCCTTCAAATAAAAGTCGCCTTATGACACCTCATTTCATAATCATAAAAATATGGGTCTCAATCTACTTCCATATTTCTACGGCACCTCGTGCCCATATTTCTAACACAACTGCACGGACAGCTCACGTGCCAATAATATCAATGTATATAAGATCCACATGATCAGTTTATTCCACTAAAGTGAGTTTACATTGTTTTAAATCAAGTAAGAAATGAATTTATTCTAGAAATTATTTGGGTGAAGAAAATAACATTCTACTTAAATTAAAGTATCATATCAACTACTGATTTGGATGTAAAACTATTTAATTTAAAACATAATAAAAAATTCTTTTATTTAAATCAACTCAATCATCAAAAATCAGTAAGAAAAATCAGAAATATACTTCTTTATAGTCTCGTGCTAAAAAGCCAAAGCAAAAATAATACAACTAGGAGCACAAAACACATAATAATAAAGTCAACTAGTACATCACGGAAAAAGACAAAAATTTACATATTTAGTGAAACAAAATCACCCAAGACAAGAACATAAATAAAGAAATATCAACAGGCCACTCCCGATGTACCGCCTCGTAGTCCCAAATCATACGTAAATTCACAATATCTCATTTTCTTATATCACTGCGGGAGCCTTCACGTTTAATTTTTAAAGAAATTATTTTTTCCGAAATAGCATCTCGCGTTTTAGCCACCCTTATCACACCGCATGACTTCTAGTAGTTCCCCTACTAGCCATGCGTTTCAAGCCTTATCTCACCGCATGCATTTTAACACCATGGCCTTATATCACCGCATGACTTCTAGTATTTTTCCTACTAGCCACGCATTTCAAGCCACCCTTATCTCACCGCATGCGTATCATTATCACAATATTTCACAAAT